CAAATTAACAATGATTAAATGAAGATAGTACATTAGATCAATCGCATTGGAATATCATTGCAATATTTCAAAACTCAATGTCAATATAAACAAAGAAATAAATTATATGTAATTAACATATATTCAATTATTAAGATTAAACTGTAATATTTAAAACATAAAAACAACCATTTCCATATTTTTTATTTATTTATGTCAACAGATCCCATTTAAAATAAAAACAATATCCTTAGATTAAATATTTAAAAAAAAAAGAATAATAAATGAGATTAAGCAGCTTGTTCACCTGTAAACCAATCAGGTACAATTCCATTCTCTAAATATTTTTCACGTATAATTGATTGAGATTCAAGTGTATCAAGAGCACCAATAATCGAACCTAAATATAAATAATTAAAAAAACAAAAAATTCATTTCAAATAATACCAATTACCTCCTAACCAAGCTGTATAATTTAAATGAGCTGGTGGAGAATGAAAATGAAATTGTTTTATAGCTAATTTATTTACATATGTTGAAATATTAACAAGATAATTTAATTCTGCATTAAGTCGATGTAAAAATCCAGGCATCATTGCTGTACCACCAATAACAAGAATATTATCAGCAAATTGTCGACGAAGATCAACTGATGACTATTATCAATAAAGACAAAAAAAAAAAAGAAATTATTTTCATAATAAATAACACATTAATAATTCATACTTGAAGTAAACTATCAAGTATTAATGTTGCAATAGATTTTCCATCGATATCTTGTTCAAAAAGAACTTCACAAGCAAATTCTCTATATAAATTTGAATATTTTTGTATTTGATTAGAAATATAAATTAATATACCTAATAATACCCGGAATATGAATAACTGTTTCTGGACCTAATGGATAATTAATTGATGAAGCTTCTTTAAATATTTCATTTGAATCTAATTTATTCTTAGCATAGATCTGTGCACGAGTAAATGGTGAGATAAAACAACAACGAACTAAAATAAATATTTTGAAATTCTTGTTTATTTATTTTTTTTGTTTTGTTCAATGAGTAGATATGTTAAAAACCTTTAATATCTTCGAGAATATCTTCTGAAAGTTTGAGATTCGCTTCATTTAATGATTGTTTCTGTCCTTGATGTATGACAAAAGCATGTTGTCCAAGTAATAATTCGATTTGTCTAAAACAAAACAAAAAACGCTATTAAGATTAATATGTAAAATTCGATATAACATGCTATTGATAATCACATAAAGATTATTTTATTCGATATACTTACTTCAACATCTTTTTACTTAATCCTCCCCAGAGATGCAATAAGGAAGTAGAAAACAAGACGTTATTAATATATGATCATGGATCGTACATCAACAATATCTGTGATAAGCCGGCTCATATACAACTTTTGAGAACATTTAATCATAGAAATAAATTTCACACACTGTCTCCTTTCTTTTGTTCATTTCAATATGAATTCATATTCTTTTGTAGAAAGTCTATATCTTTATTTAGAATTTCTTTTTTTTAGTTCTTACTTATGAATAGCTTGACCAGCATATGGTAAACTATCAAATTGAATTGCTAATGGTACACCTTCAGCTACAGGCATAATTTGAGCTTCTTTATAACCAATATCAAGAACAAGTGCTGTACTTCGACCTAATGTATATGTTGCACCTAGATGTGATGGAACAAATGCTAAAGATGATGCCTATATATAAAAAAAAAGAAATATTTGTAAGAATATTAAATAATAAATTATTTAAAAACAGACTTCAAATTGTTTTAATAGAATTTCAGCTAGTAAATGTCGAAAACGTGTAGGTGTAACTACTGATTCAATAATTACAACACGTCGTTCTCGACAATTTGCTATATTATATCTAAATCATAGAAATATAATTTTCTATTTAATATTAAAAAAAGAAACAAAAAAAAATTAATATACTTATAATAAATTGATCGAATGAATTCAGTAAGACGATCACGTAAATTTGTTAGATCTGAATTATCATCAAAAACATGTTGTATCTAAATAGACAAACAAAAAAACAATCAACTAGCATTACGAATTAAATAATATGATAATAAATACATTTCCATTCATTGTAACATTAGTCGGAATGATATGACGTGGTGCAGCATTACCAGCAAATCCACATCTAAATTAAATATCATTTGTCTTCATCGTTATTTTATTTTAATTACGTATGTGTACGTAACTCGTATCGATTTCAAAAAAAAAATAGACTCGGTTGTTTATTGAATAACTCGATAACGCTAATAGCTACTAGCGTTGTCGAGTTATTCAGGTCACAATCAACTATATTATATTTTGAAATGAATAGTGATTTCTTACATGCAGAAAAATAATAATAATTTTTTAATTTATTATCGATTGGATTGTTCTCAAGAAATTTTACATCGAATTAAATCTATATATAAAAACTTTCAAATGAATTTCTAGAGTCTACTCACTTTGTATATGCATATCCAATATCGATAATCACTGCTGTTTTTTCATTAGCTGCAAGACTATCAATAAATGATGTCATATTATAAAATCTAAAAATATAATAACATTGACATGCACTCTAATTTAGACATAGAAATTGTCCATTACAAGTTCAAAGTAATCTACATTCATTTACTTATCATCAGTAAAAAAAAAAGAAAAATGAAAGAGAAAAAGATTATCAAATGCATTTCATATTTTTACTCGAAAGAAAAGAAGTAACGTTGAAAGTTATTGTTGTTTAAATATTCATTTGAAAAATTCATCATATCTCGAACTTGTATTTTCATCTCAATCTTCATATCAAACAACAATATGTTATAAATCAAGCAAACAAATATCCAATCACCCTTTTACATATTCTTCATCGAATAAAATTCAAATGAAATAAATAAATATTTAAAATATATCAAACATATTCATCTACAATTTACCTTCATCGATCAAATTCAAATAAAAAAAAAAAAAGCAATTCTTCTCAAACAATTCAATAAATTTAAACATACCATAAATAATCTCTCATTCGATTTTATTTGCTTCTCTCTCTCGCACTTTCGATATTGGAATAAAATTAAGAGACAAAAAAAAAAAGGTTTCTTTTTCTTGACAAAACAATGCTTGTATATTTCGATAAGATCTTATTAATCAAAATAACAAATAAACAATATGAAATTGTTTTTTTTTCTTTTGTTTTCAATATGATGGATATATTTGTTTGTTTTCTGTTTTTCAAGCCACAGATTGAGCATTGGCAGCAATACGTGGCCATAAGTCAGCACATTCTTTAGCAACTGGTCCTGTTATAGCTGAACCTTTTAATTCACCTTTGTTATTAACAATAACACCAGCATTATCTTCAAAATAAATAAATGTACCATCCTTTCGACGAAATGGTTTACGTTGTCGGATGATGACGGCAGGCATAACCTTTTTACGTAAATCAGGTTTGCCTTTCTTTATAGTTGCTAAAGAAAAAAAAATGAAATATGATTTTATTATTTATTTCAATGTATACAATGAAAGAATTTAACATGTGTGAAATAAATTCTCCTTTACAGATAGTATATACTCAAATTTTGATTTTTAATACCGATATACTTGCAAATGATTTACATGGCTGTTAGCACAATTCTTGCAGGATTTAAAGGTGATATATTCTTTTCATTTAATCCTCTAGAAATACTTAGAGCATACTAAAAGTTCTGGTCATGACGTTTAAAGAATCTTTTCGGATAAGGGGACCTATTGAGAAATGAAAAGCAAAATATATCATGTTGTAGAGCTTTGTGAGGCGCATCAAATGGTATATAGTAAATCTTGTTTTCATCAATTTACTGATAGACAACTACACATCCACACCCAAGCGTGATAAGTTTCTGAATATTGTGCTCCTTGGTATTAGTCGAAAGTATTTTTTCTCACAGATTTTTTGACGGGCTACAACCTCCTATATGTAGCATCTCCGGTCATCTTGTCAGTGTATAGTCATCTATCAGTAAATTGATTCTAAGACCTTCAAAGTCTTACGAAAACAAGATTTTCTATATACCATACGACATGTCTCAAAAAGCTCTACGACATCGGATATTTACTTTTTCATTTCTCAATAAACCTCCTTATTCGAAAAGATCCTTTAAATGCCGTGGTCAGAACTTTTAGTATGTTCTAAGTACAATAAGAAAGTAGTTCACATATTATAACGAGACGTCATTAATTTACAGTCTGTGATCGTATACACTGAACAACTATGGATATATCACCGTGATCAGAGAATAGCCAACTTTTTCAAAGGCATCAAACACTACCGAACGATTTCTTTGTCCATTTTGAATCACATGAAAATATATATATATATTCAATTGTTAAACTTACAAATAATCATATCACCAACACAAGCAGCTGGTAAACGATTGAGTCGTGCACCAAAACCTTTAACTGAAATAACAAATAAATTTTTTGCACCTGTATTATCAGCACAATTAATAACTGCACCGACTGGTAAACCAAGTGAAATACGAAATTTACCACCTCCGACACCACCACGACCTCTTTTGGCTGACATAGTTATTTATTTATTAAATATATCTAGAAATAACAATATTTTACATTAAGAACGAAAACAAATTTTTCAGAATTAAAATATTTTTTTGTTTTTTAAAATATATACACACGCACACGCACAAAATGAGAAGTAGTAGAGACAACTTACAAACCAAAAAAAAAAATATATATACATTCAAATCATTGGTTTTTTTTTTGTTCGTAACAAAAAAAAAGAATATTAACAATAATCATTTCTAAGATCAAGTTTAACCGAAGACAAAAATTTGAGAATATCACACACATACTTTAGCTAAATATATTTTATTGTCTAGAGTAAATAAACAATGATATCTGTTATTTCATTTCTATTGAATTCAGAAAATTAACAAAATCATTATGTTATAATTGTATTCACAAGAATTGTTAAAACAAAAAAAATAAATAAAAGAGATTCATATGCTTGATGTTGTTGTTGTTATCATTGGAGAATTATTTAAACTTGGATTTTTTAAAATTCGTTTAATTCGATAATCATATACATAACGACAAAAAAATATATTTTGATTACCAACAGTCATTGCCGGTAATGATCGATGACGAACAATTGAAGTATTTCTATTTAATAGTGACTTCAATTGTCCGACTGATTTAGAATGTTCAAAGAAATTCGTCGATTTTTCACGAAGATAATAACTATATAAGGAAAAAGAAAACCTTATAGAACTTGAATAGAAGTAATAAAAATGGAATTTTATTAAGATCAAATATTCAATATTGGTAAACATCATATTACATTTTTCTTCTATTATAGAAAGAAATATACTTACCGATTATATTCATTTAAATTAAGTACATAACATTTATCTTCAATACAAGCAACATTAATACAATCAGAATATCTTGAAGCTAAAAGTTCATTTGGTAAAAAATGTTCTTTAATATGTGCTGGTAATTCTGTATGTTCAGGATGATAATACCAAATAAGTGACATTTGAATTTCATCTAAAAAACAAAAAAAAAAGGAAGATTTTAATCAATAAATTATGAATAATAATATTCATTTACTTGTTGTTGGTTCTTTCCAAAACCATTTAACTTTAGCTAAATATGATGTAGTATTATTATTATCTGTATCAGTTTCAGAACGTAATATAACACAATCATATGAATTAATTATATCTTTTTCTATGACATGTTGAATTGATGAATAACATTCACGAATAACAGGTGGTTTATCAGACTTTAAAATTTTGCAAAAATAAATTTTTTTTTTTTTTTTTTTTTGAGAAAATAAAAAGAGATAATTAACTTACATGAATTGAAACAAGTTTTTTTTCAGATTTTCCAAATAAAATCCAATAATTTGAAATTTTTTTTTGTTTTTTTCTTTGATGAGAATTTTTATTTGATAATGTTGATTGTAAAGATATATTTGATGCTGAATTTGTACGTTTTTTACGTAAATTTTTATCTATTATTGATATAGTTCGAATAGAATTTGCCGTAGTTGCTGAAATAGTTCGACGTTTAGGTATATATTTCAAAGATTTTTTATTATCCAAATTATTTGATGTTGATAAAATAATTCTTGATTGATTATTATTTATTGTTTTTCTTGGTGATATTATTATGGAATTATTTATTTGTGAAATTTTCTCATCGATTGATAGAATTGATGAACTGAAATAAATAATTTTCAAAATATTTTTTCCTTGAATTAATTGTCATTATATGAAAAGATCTATGTGAACTACTTTAAGAATCCAAAGAGTAGTTTAAATAGACAATGAAGTTCTTGTCATCAAATGGAATTTAATAGAGAGGAAAGTTTCTGAAGAAGTAAACATAGTAGTTTTCAGATTATCTTAAAAAAAAATATTTTTTAGCAATGCTGTGATAAATTTTTGTTTGTGATGCTTCTAACTTTTTAAGAGAAGATTGTGAAAAATTCAGCAATCTCTCATTTTATCCAGGATTTTGAACTCTTCTATGACTTAAAAACTACTGTGTTTGGTTTTTCAGAAACCTTTCTCTCATAGTCTGTCTGCGAAATATCGCATTTTATAGAGAATTACATCAGTTATTCATCTTCAAATGTATTTCAAGGAATAAAACATCTGGATATAAAACTTTGGTATTTTAACTTTCTATCAGAGATGTCCATCGCGGCGATTTTCAAAAAAAAAGTGTTCGTGTCTATGGATCTTTCTTCTTGAGTTATGATTATTTTCGAAATCAACTTTCAAGTTCAAACTCATTACCATACTTTTTTTTTGTTAATGAAAATGTCAGAATTTCTAGTATTTTCTATCCTAAAATATAAATCTAAATTTTGCCAAACAGAATGTTCAATATTGACATCAAAAGATAAAACATACAAGAACGTCTGATAATTTCAAAATCAATATCGAAAACTTAAAAGAGCTCGTGCCTATAGACTGTTGAAGCCGACTAATGACCATGGCACTGAATTTGCGTTTCATGGAAAAACCAAACGATTGTATTTTGACCTGAAATTTTGTTCATAAAGAAGCCTCGTGGTTTCAATCAAAACGGATACTTTATCCTTGAGTTATTGGATGGCTAAAAAATGATACTGAAAAGTCAGAAAATTGAACAATTTTGAAAATTCAATATCTCAAGAATAAAGCATCCATTTTTGGCTGAAACCATGAGGCTTCTTTATGGACAAAATTTCAAGTCAAAATACAATCGTTTGATTTTTCCATCAATCGCAAATCCAGTGCCATGATCATAAGTTGGACACGAATTCTTTTAAGTTTTGGCTATTGATATTAAGATCTACTTGTCGGTAATTTCTATCGAGCATGTCGACATGGTTAAAAATTAATAAATGTAACATCATTCAATGTAATTTTTCGTACTGATTCTAAATATGTCCTTATTTTTCTTTTAAAGTATTTCTGAGACAAAAAAACGCTAAAGAACTTTTAAACCCTATGATATATTTTGCAAATCTCTCTTTGGAAAAATATACTTTTATCTTAAATGATCGAAGCATGGCCATTTGTTGGACCTACGACGATCTTCGAGTTAGAATAATTTTTTGCATATTATTCAAATCACAAAAAATATATCGCTTTCATTTTATTACAAAATGTCCATAGTGCGAAGAACTGTATTTAGTTCTAAACGATCATAACTCTCAAAAAAAGCGCAGTGAATAAGAGATGTTCGTGTTCTTTTTACCTATTAGATTTTGTTTCACTATTAATACGTCTTTTAATTGGAGAAGATTTTCTTTGCGTCGTTGTTTTTATTGTTCCATTTAATTGATTTAAATTTGTTTTATTATTTATTGAAAGATTTAATACATTATTTTCAATTATTGTTGATGTATGTTTAGATTCTTTTTCAATAAGATTATTATTATTATTAATTAAACTAGAAGATTTTTGTAATGATAATGAATTTGTATTATTATTATTATGTATATGATGATGATGATGTGTATGTAAATGAAATGTTAATCTATCATTTTTTGATAATGATGAAATTTCTTGTTTTTGTTTTGAATTCAATATTGATAATTTTTTAGTTTTATTTTCCGAATATATTCTAGATGTTTTCTGATTAATTGATAATGGTTGAATTTGATTATGTAAAGATGTTGATGATTGAAATGGCCAAGCTAAAAATATGCAAAAAATTAAATCACAATAACAAATGAAAATTATAATTTAAATAGAATTAAGCATAAGAAGATAAATCATTAAATTTCTCTTTAAAATCATATATTTTATAGTACAATATATAAAACGAAAAACAAAAAATAGAACGGAAATCAAAGAAAGCATATAGAATAAGTATGTGACTGTGTTGTGAAGATCTATTCAACGTTCTTACATACCAATAGCTGATTTTTCAGTCACAATTAAAATATTCTTTTCTATCTACAATAATTGAATAATATGGTAATAGAAAAGGGAAAGCATATATTTGATTGATATATTAATATTCATATTTTTTCTAATATATATATATCTTATCGGATTACTATTTATAAAACTCATCTTGTTCTTTTAATAATACAAGAAAAATTTAACAAATAAATATGTATATAGAAAAATATAAACAACAAATAGACAAATAATATATATATAAATTAGTCCTATAGCTTACTTGAATATTGCCAACAAGGTAAAATAGGATAAAATGAATGTAAATTATTGAGAGAATATGTAGTTGATGGAAAAAGAAAAGTAGGATTATTTCTTGTTGATAAATGTTCAAATGAATGTGATATTGTATTCGAAGTCATAGAATCAATTGGTTTTGAATTATTAATTAATAATGCTTAAAAAACAAAAAATCATATTAAATATAATTTTTTTTTTTTTTCTATTTAAAAATATAATATTAAACCTGTAGATTTATTATTTATTGATGATGATTCATGAGAAATTTCATGTTGAGAATATGGTGGTGGTGGTGATGATGATGATACACGATCATATAAATCTACTTCTTGTGTCCATTTAATAAGATTATCACGTTTTGAAGATATTGTTTCATATAAACGATTATGTTCAGCTAAAATAGCTTCAGTTAATAATGGATATTTTGTATTAGTTGATAATGAAGATTGTATAGAATTATTTGTTATAATATTTGATGATTGAGAATATTCAGTTTGAATTGGTATATTAATTATAGATGATGTAGGAATAGGAAATGATGGAATATTAGATTTATTTGATTTAATAGAAGGTTGTTCAGATTGAATATCAATTTTATTTGTACGATGTCGACGAATAATTGATGTTGAATATTTATTATTTCGTGAATAATTATAACGACTACGTTCAATTTCATTTTGTTGCATAATCATAGCAGATGCACGTGAACTTGCTTCACGATGAATACGAGTAGGTTTATGTAAATCTGTTTGTGTAAGTTTAATATTATCAGATTTTGTTGAAACATTTGAAATTTGACGTTTTCTTTTATTTGTTTGAATATTTATTTTTTTTGTTTTTGAATTATTTGATAGAATTGATGTTGATTTTATTGAATGATTTAATTTTCTTGTTGGTGAAAGAATACTTGTACAATATTGAAGAAGTGTTGTTGCTGTTAAACTTGAAAGACGTTTTTGTTTTGGTTGTATAATTGATGATGTTTGTTCAAGATAACGTTTTGTTGATGAAGATTTTTTTACTGATATTTTCTTTTGTATAACATTATGTGTAATTTTTCGTTTTGAAATAGAAATTTTCTTTGATTTAGATGAAGATTTACCAGATGTTGTTGTTGTCGTTGTTGTACGAACACGTCGAGACATTATTAGAGATGAAATGTTCGTATATTAGAATGTTTAATATCTATAAAAGATTTAGATATATAAATGATTGATATTAAAATAGAATTTAAAATAGAATAAATAACAAACAAACGATTACCATTGGACTCTCTTATACGTCTTGAGAGAGTTTTAAAGTTAAAAATACAATATTAATTTAAAGAAAAAAATTGTTTTTAAAGATAATTTATAAAATATTTTATTTCAAATATTAATAAATTATTTAAAAATTTTTCATATTAGAATTATTAGACAATCGAAAGATGTCGCTAGAAGGGTATATGCCATTGAATATTTTAAAGTTTCATTCCTTAAAAAAAAATATGTTGGGTCAGATATATCGCATGATATTTTCGAAAGATATATAATAAACAAGAGTCAAAAATAGCTTATTTGACAATCCAAAATTCTCTATATGATATTCTTAACTATGTAATTTTTCAAACAAAGTTATTTGTACATTATAAATCAATTGACTATTTTCATACTGATATCTTATAATGCAAAGAAAAATCACATCATGATCAAGAGAAAATGGTGTACAACCGTACTCTATGTGAAGGATAGGAGTACAATAGTAGAGTAATTCTTTTGAAAATGCACGACAATTACATTGACTTCATTCGAATCGAATGAAACTTTCAGAGTAGATACTATTCAATGAGGCGATCATTTGATTAGGCGGATACTTTTTTGTCCAACATTTTCTTTGCATCGAAAAGCTTCTGAGAAAACTCAGTTTTTTCGAATTTTTGGAAGCTAAATTTCTCTGACAAGGAACAAGATTTAATTGATGATTTTGTATGCGTTAGAATCAGGAAGGATGTTCACTTTTTTTTAAAATTAACTTTAGGGTTCTCTGATGAAAAAATTAAAGATTTCGGTGAGGAGAGCAGTACATATTCATAGTCTACTCAAACCAAACTAACAAAAAAATGATATTTCAACATTGGTTCGACAGATTTTCATAGAAATTGGCCATTGAAGTAAACATGCTTTTCTTATAGCCTATGTCAAGGAAATCTCAAATATAAAATTTATAAAAAAGTAAAAATCTTCCAATCATCAACTAAATCTTGTTCTTTGTTGTAGAAATTTAGCTTCCAACACTCGAAAAAGCTGATTTTTATGAGAAACTTTTCAATGTGAAGAAAAACGTTGGACAAAAAAGTTCGCGCTTAATGAAATGATCCCCTCATTGAATAGTATCTACTCTGAAAGTTCTACCTTTCTATCATTTCAAATAGAGAAAGAGATCTTGGCATGCTCTTTCCAACAAAAAAAAACCAAGTAATTGGCTACAATAAAGTTTCTTCAAAAGATTCTGAAAAGCATGAACATAGAAAAAAAAATGAAAACAAATGTCAAACCATTTCTGATAGCAGCGCATATTTTTCAAAAAGATAATGACAGAAATCATCAAAAATCTTCACGAAAAAAAGGAAGTGCCGAATAAAAAAGAATCGTGTCATTTATGAAAGGTCAAGTCTTGAAATATTCTCCTATGCACTTATCTTAATTTCAATAATTCGAACGAACATTGACTGTTTTCAAGGAGGGGACGAGGACTTTATTTTCTGTTTGTATTACAATTCTTTTGAGATAAATCTGTAGATGCTGTTGAGTACATTGATATAAAAAGAAAATTAAGCTAGGACGCTAACAGATCCAGGAAATCAACGAGAAGATGACGATCTATCGGAATGGACGAAATGAATGAAAAATTATTCGCAAAGACATGCCGATCACTGCTTTGTAACCCCTCTCTAAGTACGCCGTTGGACTAAGTGAGACTTCGTTCTTCTAGATTTTTCAATTTACATAGGAAGACGACTTTCGAAGCATAAGATCGTATCTCTCTGACATATGACATCGCATTCAGGTAATTACTCATGTGACACATTTGTTCATACTACTGTCATCACACAAACAATCGATTGCTGATCAAAAAACCAATTACCAATAAGTATATGTCTGCTTGTTGCTGATGACATTGAAATAGAACTTTTCGATAATTCATTTTTCTCTCTATGCATTCAACTACTCCGTTATATGGTTCATCATCAGTAGATAAATTTCCATTAAAAACGAATTTTTTTAGTACAACAATATCATTTTTCATTTCTGTGACTTATTCTCAAGTACAAAATAAATTGCTCAAATTTTCACTCTTATGATTTTATATAAATTAGCAGTTTGAAAAAGTAAAACTACTTCGAAACATCGAGATCTCATGAATTATCATATCGGAATCGCATATGAGATCATACTCGATTACAGAGCACTAATAACAAGTCATAAAAAAACACAGACATATTATATTCTGCTTTAATGACATGTCATGATTATCAATCCCATTACTAAGATAAACTTGAAATCTCCTTCAATTCAGTTTTTTAATGTTGAGAAAATTTATATTAATTCTCATCTTCTCTATATAGCTATTTTAATTTCTTTTATCCCTACAAGATTTCAATATTTATCTGATACTTAACAACATAACCATGAAAAAAAATTCACACGTTGTCAATTCACAGGATTTAGATTTATTGCTTTTCTCAATGAACCACCAGACAATGTTAAATGACCAATATCTATCGTAGAACGAAAAAACAAAACAAGATGTTCATCGGAAACATCTACATTCTGATTTATTCTAGATATGAAAATGAAGCATGTAAATTGTTCAAAATGGTGAATATTCAACATAGAAATTTTGTTTATTTTCTTAATCAATGATTGGCTCATCAATCACATTCAAAATTGCTGTCAATTAGATTCTCTATTGGTTCATTCGACATTTTTGTTTTTTTCACAATTTATTAAATTCCCAATCAAAACAAAAACTAAGAGAAATCACATGTGACATTCATTTTATTTACAAGTAAACATCAAAGATAATAACATATGAATTGCTTATTATATTTTTACAAGGTTGAAAGAAAAACTAGAAGAAATTTAATTTTGTTATGCTAATGATTTTTTCAATTCAACACCTTCTTCTAAAAAAAAAAACAAAAAGAAAATTAAGAAATGATTAAAACAAAAAGCAAAAATTTTTATAATACCTTCAAGTAATGAATTTGATCGACAAAAAATATTTGTATTAAAAAATTTACCTGTTTGTTCACATTTAATTACTAAACGAAAATCAAGTTGAGATTTTTTTAATTGATAATGTGCAATTTTATTTTTAACATTATTTCCAATGAATGGATAAGACATTTCATTATTATCTATAAAACAAAAAAATGATAAATTGAATTTTTTAAAAAAAAAACATTTAACTTATTATCATACCAAATGAATATAAAATGTTAATGTGTTTAAGATGACATTGCTTAAGACGTGTAAGAATTATATGAGGAAAGCTAAAAGAATGCGATATATATTTTTTTTTAATTCATATATAATTATTTTGACAACATACCGTTTTGAACGAGAACAAATCTCATCTTTGTTTATTTTAAAATAGATTGATGAATCTTGAATAATAATATCAGAATGTATTTTTTTCTTTGCACATGAATATAGAAGTGGATATGGATGAATATATGATATATCTTGATAAGGCACAGTAAGACGTGTAACACGTATGAAAAGATTAGAATTATCAGATAGAATTGTTGGAAGCTAAATTGAAGAAGACAAAATATATTAATGTTAATTATTTTTTTTGATGTTGTTCTTGACACTTACTGCAATTGTCACATATCGACCATGTATTCCTTTGATATATCGTCCTGATTGATGTTGTTTACTTAGTTTTTTTGTATTGACTAAATTTCCATCGATTGATAAACTTGTAATTTCACTTAAGTAACGTACATGATAAATAGGTTCTGGTGGATTAATAAATGAAAGGAAAATATCATGATGATATTGTAAATTCGTTGATGACTAAATTAAATATAAATATTTATATTAACATAGGAAAAGAGAATTGTAATAAATTTACAGAATTATGTGAAACAATATTTTGTTGTTGATTAGCATAGATTGGTAAAGTCGACGATGGAACAGAAGTAACTAAATAAATTCATTGAATATGTGCAAAAAAGTGTAACATAAGTTTTTTGAAATTTATATACTCGACATAGATAAAAATGAATTTATATATAGATATTCATCAAGTACTCGACTTACTAAATTCAGGAGTGCTATTTCCAACGTTTTTCTAATCATCATCTCACCTGATAGTCATCATTGAGGAGTTGCAGGTCCACGTTTTTGTGGATTCGTACCCGGTCAGTAGTGTCAAACTTGAAAGTTGAATTCAAGTATTCAACTATTAGTTCAACTATTCAAGTACTCAATTAGTTAACGGCTGGAATGCCACTAGAATCATCTAATATCACAGGTATTATCTGCAAGACTACAAGCATCCCCTATGATGCTACAAGCATTCCATAGGATGCTACAAGTATTCACTATGATGCTACAAGTATCACCTAGAATGCTAAAAGCATTTCCTAGGATACTACAGTTTTGGGTTGATATGCTGTAGACATTATCTGGGATGCTACAAGAAGTATTCTGAGAAGCTTCAGCTAATGTGCAGCACTTAGTAGGAATAATGGTGTACACAGAGACGTTCATGGGTCGCGGCTCTTCGGGAGCCGCTTCGCACCCCCACGCCGCAACGCTGAAATAAAAGGTTTCTTAGGTGGGAAACGCGCTTCCCCGCTGAATATTCACAGAACACTTGAGAAATTAAAATTTGAATAGTTGAATATTTGAATTCAAGTTTCAAGCATTACATGTATGATCATCAATAGAAAGGTGAGAAAAACACTTTGGATTAGCCGATATAGGTGTAGATATTGAGTTTCTCTATTTTCTCGCATACACATTCGGATTGGAGGATAGACATCATCGACTTAATTGACATAACCAATCCAAATTTATATGTAGTGATTGATGAATTAAAGAAACGACACGCTTACGATGAAACAACTTGATAACAATATGAATGACACTCC